TTGGTAATGTAATAATATGTTACCTTTGGAGAAGTTGAGGGTAAAAGTGGGTTGATTGGCGCCAAGATAATTGATATGGAAAATAAGTTCTTCCGGCAAATCGGATTTGGTTCTCCAGATATTCCAACCTATACCGGCGTAGACCAAACCGTATTTGTGACCACTCACATTTATGCTCTTAACCAAAGGTAACCGGAAATCCCATTCTAGCTCCGAATACAAGAACGGTGCAATAAACCCACCACTCGCTGCGTCCACGTGAATCGGCGTTTCCCATCTGCAAATTGCGTTTTCAAAATACGTTAAACCGGATTCGAACCGGTTAAAATCGATTAATTATCATAGTTTTTATTGGTTTTTGGTTTAATTACCCGGTTTGCTTGTTCTTCTCGACTAGAAGGTCGTTAAGGAGCTTAACATCTTCGAATTCTCCGGTTAGCGTCGAACCAAGGATTGCCGCGACACAGATTGTGTTTTCGTCTACCAATTCAACTGCTTTTTGAGGATCCATCACGTAATACCCTTCTCTTAGCTTCACTTCCTTAAGCTCCACCTCGAAATACGTTGCGAATTTCTCCCAGCAAACCTGTATAACCCGGAAATTGAGAAAACCATCGACTTAAACCGGAGTTACCAAGTTTTGGGTATAATATCTCATTGTTTTCTCGTTTTAGTAGTAACCATTAATCGGTTGAATAATTCAACTTTGGGTATAATATTTCAATTTATTTTGGTTTTGGTTTAAGTGTTAGCAGAATGCTAAACCAAACTTAGTTTTAGTTTTTTAATTTTTTGGTTAAAAAAAAACCAGAAATACCATAAGAAAATTTCTCCAAAAATGAAAACCGTATCAAACATTTTTTGTTTGGTCAACCTTAAATTGAGAAAACATGTATGTATAGAAACTAAATTCAATCATAATATCAAATTCAATTATAATATCAAATTTACAGTTTAACTTTTCCATTTAAGAACTAAATTCAATTATAATATCAAATTTACAGTTTAACTTTTCTATTTAAGAACTAGAGAGCTAAACCGGTTTTAAAAATTTGTTTGGTTTACCTGAACATTAGCTCCGGTTACAATATTGGGTTTATCATAAGGAAGTCCTTGCGCCTTACGCTTATTTTGCCATAGTCTCTTAAAAGCCAATCCGGCCAACATAATCGCCTCCGACGATCCCACCGTACCAACACCAACCCCGACCTCGCCTTCACCGAGCGGCGCATTGAAAAGACGCGCAATGATATTGACACATCGATTATGTAACTCGGTAGTAACAGGGTACTCGTGCATGTCAACAAAATTCTTGTCGATTGACTCCATCATGAGCTGGTCACACTCTGGCTCCATATAAGTGGTCACGAACGAGGCTAGGTTTAGNCTCGGGTTACCATCGAGCATTAGCTCGTCTTTGATGATTTGGTACGCTGCTTCCTTCGGGATCGAGTTCTCAGGCATCTCAAATCTAGTGATAGAAACATTATGTTAACGTTACCAAAACATAAAAATAACGAATGGCATGAGATGTAAAGTTTTACAAAACAAAGGTTATAGATTTATTTTGCTTCTCCAAAAAAAACATGAAAAGTTAAATAAAACATTTTACCGTGGAAAAGAGTTGCGAACGTAACGAGAAGCAAAAGTTGATTGGATTAATCTTGAAGCCATATCTTCTTTCAAAATTCACTCAAATCTTCGA